CCCCCAAAACCCCAAAACCCCAAAACCCCACCTCTAAATTCCAAAATTGAGCCTTTTCTTAATCATCCAATAACATCTGTTCATACTCTTCCTTAGTAATCCTTCCTTTCTTATACTTCTTATAAATCCTGTCTTCTCTCTGAAGGTCGTCCCAGTCCTGGACTTCTAGTTCTTTCCTTCTTCTCTTCTTCTCAGCCCGAGTTACTTTATTTTTCTCCTCCCGTTGTTTCTCAGCAATTTCTTTCCGCTTTAACTTCTCTTCTCTCTTCTTCTCTTTCTTCTCATCGAGAACTTCTTTCATCTTCTCCTTTTGCATTTTCTTATTTTTATCTAAAGACATATGAAATATGAGAGAGAAAAGTATTGATGTATGATAGCAACAAAAAGACATTTATCTTAAAATCCTCTTTCTATTTAGAATAAAAGAAAGAGTTTTCTAGAAAATTCAAAACTAGTTGACTGTTTTGTAATCTGTATTATCAGAAGATGAAGGATATTAGACAATTCTGAAAAAAAGACAAAGTGTTCTTACTCAAATATGGAATAGAATCAATATCAATCTTCTCATTAACAAATTTCTTGGTCTTCTTGCCTAATATCTCTTTAATCCTAGGCATTCTTAGCAAAGAGAAGGCGTTTGCAACAGCCGCTATATCTAGCTGCTTAAAGTCCATGATAAATTTCAGTTCATGCTCTTTATAATAACGGAAGAAAGATACAAATCCATTTCGGGATTTATCGATCAAGTCTTTATCCTTCTTCATCAGCCCCTTGCATAGCTCAGTGATACTTTTGTTGTCAAATTCTGTTTCTAGTTTGATCTCGGATATGTCTACTTTTCTTGATTTTAAGAATTGGACATATGCTTGTTCATGTGTTTGTAATAAAATTAAACTTTCCCCTTCTTTTCCAGCCCTTGCAGTTCGACCAATTCTATGGATATACTGGTCAGTGTCCTGGGGAGGATCGAATTGGATAATCCAGTCGATGTCAGGGATGTCAAGCCCTCTTGCACTGACATCTGTAGTCAGCAATATCCCATTATCCATTTTTAGGAACGTTTGGTAGACCTTACTTCTCTGTGTCTGCTTGATCTTTCTGTGGAGCTTCAGAATCTTTCTACCAGGAATGCTAAACTTCTTGAAGAGATGATAAAGAATGTAAGAGTAGTATTCAACACTTGCTCAAGTTGCAAAGAATATCATATATTTCTGCTTCTCTTCTTTTTGTTTGATAAATTCTAGCAAATTTTTAAGTTTTTCATCTTGATTCCCAACAACCAAGAAATAATTCTTGAGAGTGCTTGGAATTTCATTAACATTCTTAACAATTTCATTCTTTGTTTCTTCTATTTTCATTCTAAGAGATCTTTCTTCAAAATCTTCAGTTCTTGCATACTCTTCTCTAAGGCTTTCAATCGCGAAAGGCTCACAGTTATTCCGAAGTGTTTTCTCCTTATACGAAAATATTTCAATGTAATAAGGGTTTCTCATGCCAATTCTGGCAAGGCCTTGGACTGCATCACTCATAGTAGCTGAGAATAAGCCAGTTCTTCTTTCTCTAGGGATCTTATCCATGATTTGGTTAAGCTTTATTTGATTTCCTTGTTGGAAAAAGAGATCCGCCTCATCAATTACAAGAACTTTTACAGTCTTTAGTTTAATAACTCCTCTATCAATAAAGTCCCAGATTCTTCCGACTGTTCCAATAAGAATGTTGGCTCCTTTCTCTTGGAAACTGTCAATGTCTTCGCTTATCTTATTTCCTCCAATGCAGCAGTAACCTTTAAGCCACTCAAATTTAGTGAGAAGTTGATCGAGAACTATTCCAACTTGCTTTGCAAGTTCTCTAGCTGGAACCAGAATCAAAGTGAGCAGTTCATACTTCTTTGGCCTGTTCTCACTGTTGTACTCACTATTGAGGATGATCTGTAATGCAGAAACCAAATATGCTAGTGTTTTGCCTGACCCTGTACATGCTTTTACGCAAACATCTTTATTTTTAGCAAACAAAGGAATCGTTTCCCTTTGAACTTTTGTGATCTTGTTAAAATTCATATCTTTCCTCAGATGATTTACTATCTCTTTAGATATTTTCATGTCAACCTGTTTCCATTTACTATATTTTAGCTTATCAGGAGATAAAGAAGTTGTAGTTTCCATTTTGTAGCGTTTATTATTAATTATTTCAATCTGTATCATATTTCAGGGGTTTTGGGGTTTTGGGGTTTTGGGG